TGTTGATAAGAATGTTGTTTATTGGTCCAGTGGTGAGGATTTTTGTTTTCTTGACATTGAGATGTAATCCATACCGAAGGCTGTGCTCTTTGATCATTTAGAGGGGGAGAGTTGGAGTCATTTAAATATAGTAAAGGAGTTTTGGTAGCATAGTGGTTGTGAGTTGGGCTGCTAATGTCAAGGTCAGCAGCTCTAAACTACCAGCTGTTCTGTGGGAGAAAAATGAGGCTTTCTGCTCCTGTAAAGATTTACAGCCTCAGAAATCCCATACAGACAGGGTCGCTCTGAGTCAGAACTGACTCCACCGCACATAACCAACCAATTATTTATTTAGTACCACCCTAAAAACCCAACCCAACCCATTGCTCTTAAGTCTATTTAGTCTCACAGCTATAGGACAGGGTAAAGCTGCCTGCCCCATAGGATTTCTAAGGCTGCAAAGCTGTGTGGCGCCACAGGACAATGCACTGGTTGCAAGGTGGGTGGTTCAGCTCCTTGCAAATCAAATCCTTTACAGGGCCGCTATGAGTCAGAACCAACTCAACAGCACTTAACAAAAACAACAACAAATCTTTACCAGAGTAGACTGCTACGTCTTTCTCCTGCAGAATATGGCAAGTGAGTTACTGACCTTTAGATTAACAGTCTAGTGCTTCAACCACCGTGCCACCAAGGCTCTTTATCGACCCCCTTGAAACTTGATAAAAGCAGCGACAGAACTTTACTTGCCTTATCCGCTGTAACTGTTCCACTTAACAGTTGATTAAATGCTAGTGACTCTGTATAGGGTTTTCTAGTGTAAAAGGCTGAATGAGTATTTGCAAAGTGAATGAATTTAAGTAGGGAATGCTTTTGTAGAATCATTTTGCCCCTTTTGGAGTCCAAGTCCTTGGATGTTGCACTCTCACAATTTTAAAGAAAAATTGTCTAGCTGGTGATAAGAGCCATATTGGAAGTTAGGCATTTTGCGTTATTTAAACAAGCTCTTGACCACAAGGTCAGTTTGAACCACAAGGTCAGTGGTTCAAACTCCCCAGCCGCTCCTTGGAAACCCTATACAGGGTTGCTATGAGTCGGAACCGACTCCACGGCACACAACAACAATAGTAATGTTACACAATAATGACATTCAGTGTTGATCAAAACTGACAAGATCCCTGCCCTGGAAGGGGTCGTCACGGTGTGCCTTGGCGTCAGTTCTGACTCAGGAACCATGCATAGGGTTTCCGATGCTGTAAATCTTTATGGGAGCAGAAAGCCTTCCATAGAGGAACAGCTGGTAGTTTTGAACTGCTGTCTTTGAGGTTAGTAGCCTGACTAGTAACCATTATGCTACCAGAACTCCTTCCTGGAGGGGGAAGCAGATATAACTAATTTGTTTAGTGGCCGTACTTAACAGCAACAACAAACTTTTTTTAAAGTTGGTGGTTCCAACTCTCCAGCTGCTCCAAGGGGGATAGATGTGGTAATCTACTTCTTAAAGATCTATAGCCTTGGAAACTCTCCTACAGTGTCGTTATGAATCAGACTATATTCCTTGGCAATGAATTTTTTAATTTAATCTTTATGGAAACACAAACTGCCAACCTTTAGGTAGGAATCATTGTAACCTGATTGTGCCTGTTACAAGGGCGTGGAGGTGTCCTCTTACCTCCCTTGACTTCACAAACAGGAAGAAGGAGAATCACCAGTTCCAGGCTGATTCCTATGAAGCAGGGGGTCAAACGTGCATCTCTCCCCACAGCACTCCATTTCTCTACTGAGTTTGAAACTCTGTTACAGTGGCCATACAGAACTCACAGACAGTACAAATGATTATGGGATTTGCTAGGGAGGTTAACAGGTTACAATTATGGATCGGAAATGCTCAGGACTTAGACTTTCTTTAGTCATGAGTGCCTCTTCTCAGACATGCTCACAGCTGTGTCTCCTCTCCTGTGGCCTCTCAGCCCTGTGGTCCCTTGACCTTTGCCCTGTCTGTCTAGTGTTAACATAGCTTCTTTAGAGTTGCCAATAAATGCCCAAAGGTGCTAGGCTCTTGCTAAATGGATCAGCAAACCTAGCTTCCTCAATTAAGTGCCTGGAAGCACCACACTACACAAGTGAGCTTTCTGCCCCAAAGCATTTAGTTTTACTTG